TATTATTATTTACTACTATTCTGAAGTTAATGAAATAGTCCAGTAAAGAACAACATACCTCTTTATCCTGAATATTTGGATCTGCATTGTTTTCCAGTAACACTACCATGCAGTTAATGTAACCTCCATAAGCAGCACACTGCAGAGGTGTTCTGCCTGCATAATCCTGCACGTTAGGGTTGATTTTATTTTCTATCAAGATTTGGCACACATCAGCATTTCCTCCCAGGGCTGCCCAGTGAAGGGGTGAATGGCCATCTTGGTCAACCAAATCTACTCTTGCTCCTCCTATAACAACAAATACATTTTGAACATAAAAATAAAATACTTTTGAATGAAAAGAAAAAAATAATAGGTTTATGTTCAACTAGAACTTATTTGGTTCTGATAATTCAGAGAAATATTTCTGAAAGTAACTTCACTTTCATTACTCAAATCCTAAAATCTCAATCAAAATTAATTGAGAATGAAATCGTTTCAGTGAGGGTCAGGCACCTAACTTTTTACAAGCTTCTGAGTACCCTCTCAGATGCTTTAGAATCTCCAGATTTGTCAAATGCCCTTGAAAAAAACAGCCTTATTTGTTTCAGGCCTATTAATTTTCAGTGAAACTTTTATATCTTAACAACAAAATCACTCTTGAAAATTAGACTTCAGACGAAACATCTTTTTAAATCTTTAAAGCAGACAAGATAAAATATTCACAGTACAAGAACTATTTTTGAAAAAAGCTTGATTTTTTTTAACTCAAGCATGCTAAGACTAATTTATGTGGATAATTAATTTCTCTATTGGTCTTGTAAGATGTAAAACCTCTGTACAAAATAAAACTCTACAAACATACAAACTTGAACCAACCAGCAACAATTACTGTCTTTATCCTAAAAGATTTAATTAAACATAACTCAGATTCTGATAACCAAGCTTCTTGCATCTACAACAACTAAATGGCATAGGTAGTGGGAGGAAGAGCTTAACAGAGGTTAAAATACGCCCAGCAGATCACAGAGGGAAGCACGCTTTTCAGTAAGAAAGGTTGATTGACGGAAAACTTGCAACTTGATAGCCTTGATACTTCAACTGTCCATAAATTGGATATCTCAAGTAGGAGGGGGACTGCTTCCATCTACTTAGAATTTTTCTGTGAAGCTACGACAGAATTTTGCATCTAAGATACCAATGTTCTTTCACCATACTTCTTCCACTTCAGCAATTTTTATGATTATCTAAAACTGTGTATGTTGTTAAATCTTATTTCTGTCTACAAATAAAATATTGCTTACAAAAACCAAGCAGTTGAAAATATTAATGATTTAGTATTTTTGATAGCTACCTTCATTAAAAAATAAAGATTCATTTAAGCAGTCAAAAAGTCTTCAAAGCCTAAAAATACTTTCTCACAAAAGAGAAGAAAGCTTAATTTGGCCTTATTTACCAGAGAAAAAAAAAAAAAGAAAGAAAACCAATGACTTGCTGGGGAAGAGGTAGTTTAAGAGACTAGAACATACTTGAAAAAGCCTGAGCAGAAAAGAGCTCTGAAAAGAAAGATCCCAATTTTGAAAGTGTTATGTTTAACTCTTCTAGCCATTTTACGTAACAGTCTGATAATCTTTTACATTCACTAGCGCTGTTTCACAAAGGGTATGTACAGACAAAACCTGCTTTAGAAAAGTAATTTTCTATCCCACCTCTTGCTCAGCTATGCTGTTTATTTCCCATCCCACAGAAAGCAGCATCAAAACTCTGAACAGGTTTGTAAATTCATAACAGCTGACCTTTAATGAGTGTTTGTATCACTTCTTTGTGTCCCATCTCACAGGCTCGGAAAAGTGGGGTATGTTTCATGACATCCAAAGCATCTACCTGTGCGTTATGTTCCAATAGCAATTTCACAGTGCTGACGTGGCCAGAAAGGGCAGCAGCATGTAATGCTAAAAGAATAAGTAGTAGGAAAAAGAAATCACAATATCATGAGCTTTGGAGATTCACTATATTAAACCAGTCAAAATAAAAATTAATTTTAACCATTTTGGGGAAAAAAGTGCTTTTCAACCATAAGAAACTGAAGAATCATAACAAGTGATCATTAGCCACATTTTCTTGCCATAAAAGCAACAGAGCAACAAGCAGAAAAACTGTTAGCCCTGAAAAATTTTTCTAACTTGCACAAATATAAATTCTGACATTAAGACCACCAAGATTGGCTTGTACTGGGGATTCGTGGAAGGTTAACAGCTTCTGACTAAGAGAATACAACATGATCTACTTCTGCCTCTGTTTTGTGACATTTCTTACATCACTCCAGTGGAGATTAAACTGCCCATTGCCAGTGAAAGAAAGCTTTCATTATTTCTTCAGTGTTTTCCCAAAAATATCTTTTTTTTTTTCCTTTCAAATAAGCAAAGCTATCTCAAAACTAACTCCAGATAACCACCCAGCTCTTCCTTCTCCCCCCTTTTTTTTCAGAATTGCAGAAAATTTTACACAAAATTATGTAGCAAGGCCATCACATCTTGCACAGTATCTGCAGCTCCCTGTTTTCTTCAGGAAAGAGAAAAAGGTGATGTAAAGACCTGATACTACAATATGCCTTACCCTAACAATTTATGAAGTTGTATGAAAACTGTTGATTCTGCAGACTCCTACGCCTCCATAGTTTTCTTTGCCATCTCATACTCAATGTATGCAAACTTCACTGAGTCCAAATCAACAAATAACACAGAGCTACTTTAGATACTTTAGACCTCAGAGGCAAAGACGTGGTGTCCTATAACTGAACTTGCTATCGACTAACACAGCATACTGCCAGCACTGTCAGCTGGAGTTGAGGAAAATGCTGAAAGGCCAGTCCAGCCAGTTCATGGTTCTTTTTGAAGGAAAGGAGAACCTCACACAGCAATGAGATTTCAAACCAACGGAGGACACATACATTGGTGAATTCACTTAAAATTTGATTTGAAAATGCTTTGGATTATTTCCTGTACTCAGCAATTGAATCAGATAATCTACCTTCTCATGCTGCCTTACATATAGAATATTTCACAGATGACAAAAGCAAAATAATTTAGAATGAAAATACAAAACAGTGCAATTCATAAATGCACATCTAGTAAAGTGAATTAATATTTCCTGATGAAATTTCATAAATATTCATCCTTGGTGAGAATTCAGTCTGCTCAAGCAAGTAAATGCGGGGCTGTAAACAGTACCTACATGTCTCTACTTGTTTAATGTTAAAACAGGCATGGTCAGGATCCAGTAGGGGCATTATACAGAAAGGCACACCACGAAGGCCAGCGTTAGAAGGCATTGGTTCTTGAACCACAGCCAGCATATGAAAACAGTCAGGCTCTTTCTATTTTCCTGCTACCATTTACCACTGGTACCAACTTCACACAGCTTATGAAACAGTAACCCACCATAACCTGTTACACAGGCACTACTAAAATGCACAGGTTGTTCATACTGTCCATGAACCAAATCCAGCTGAAGTGTGTTGCCTTAAAACAGATTCTCAGAATCAGTGACAGTAATTGGAACTGCGATACAGGCAAATGAGGTGCTTCCAGGAAGAACTGGCGTCACAGCCAGAGCCAGTATGAGAAGTACTGCCTTAGTAATTGAAATAATGCCTTTAAGATGATACTGATGTTTAACTGTTGCAGCTAAAAAGCACAGGGGCACTCATCACACTTGTGAAAAACATCTGTAAGCAGCACAATCTGCAGTAGTTAGGCGAGTGGGAGGCTATCAGTAGAAATCTGACAAGAATGAGATCCCTGCCACTTCTTACATTTGCATGGGCCTGGTTTTCATGGTCTGACCTCACAGTAAACTCTAGGTTCTGGTTTTTGTACTGCATTTCTTATGAAACCAAAGGCAGTAAAACACTCCATCAGATGATACATGGGGTGTGCATAACAATACAATAGAAAAAGAGCTGCTGTGTCAGCTTGGCCGGCTCTTCCCCTCTATCACTCATTCTGACGCAGGCATCTTGTTTCACACTTTGTGCTCAATATTTTCTTGTAAGCCAAATTTTCTGTGATGGAGTCACGGTGACTGAAGAGATTCTTCAGCCAGCTGGTCACAATAGGCCCTTTGTTCAGCCGACAGACAGAGCCCTCTCCATTGTACGCAGTGACGGCAGAGCTATAAAGCTGCCCCTGTAATGCTCCTGCAGCGCTGATCTCTGAGAACAGGGAAATTCCTTTCCCTTGGTGTCATTCTCCTACACAATACGGAGAGTCTGGATGTTCTAGCAAAGCTGAATGGAGAGCTTGCTCTTTTTAAGTAAATGGAAAAGGCTGCGTTAACGCAACATTATAACTGAGCTTAACTGAGTCGTCACACAAAAGTCAGAAAAACACAAACTTGAACTCTCCTCAGCAACTGTATCCCAGGCACGGTGGCATGTACGCTATTTTCTATTACTGCATAGTTTCCTGTCAGAATACAACGCTACTTTTGCCTCACCAAAACTGGGGAATGATTAAGAAGTTTCAGAAAAAAAAAAAGGTTTGAAATCAGAGTGTGATTTACTGGTGAGCTTCTTTTTAAGTTTACAGCTCACTGTAATAAAGCCCATGCTGCTGCACATGCTTTTACAATGGTAAAATTCAGATTGCTCAAGAGCAAGCAACGAATGCCATAGTTCCCCACTTTAAGACCATTCAAAGGCAGTTTCAAGTAAATGCAAAATCCATTTGCTTCCTTGGATTAAAAGCCCTACAACAATATCAAGATTAAAAGGTGATTACATATCACTGCTACGAAAGGTAGCAAACCCAACCACCTGAATTATTCAAGCATGAAATCCACCCCTGAGTAATTTCAGAAACACAGTATGTGATTATCCTCAAGGCCAGGCTGGATGAGGCTTTGAGCAACCCGGTCTAATGGAAGGTGTCCCTGCCCATAGCAAGGGGGTTGCAACTCGATGATCTCTAAGGTCCCTTCCAACCCAAACCATTCTATGATTCTATGATTACTGTCTGCAAAGAAGAAAACCCCTTGTAAGGAGGAGGTTTGCACAGTGACTACGACAGTACTGCACCCTAAGGTCTGAAACAAATATTGTGAGGTATTCAAAAGAGAACTGTCAGGAAGGAACAAATATGGGCAAGCAATAAAAGATGAAACAAGACTAAAATGGTAGAGTATGTAGTTTGTAAAGTCATCCAAAAATGAAGACTGAGATTTTATTTGTTGCACTATTCCTTAAACTCAAAAACTACAAACTATCATAACTTGGAAAGACTGATTTTTTTGTGGGTTGATCTGTATGAAAGAAATAATTTAGATATTTTAATAGAATTTTATGATAACTGTATTTGGCTTTTTGTGTAAAGACCCCCCCATACAGCCAGAGGAAATAAAAATTTCATTTTTTTTATATGAAAGTAATATTCATATATGCTGTCTTTCAAATCCTGAACCATACAGCCGTGGCATTCCATTTATTTACCATTTGTATGTTAATTCGAAGTGTGATCTGAAAAGAGAAAAGCTGTTAAACTCGTATCTTTGTTTCTTGGTTGGGATAGATCTATGCTGCATGTTCCATAAATCGAAGCGTGCAACTAAGGCTAGTTTGTATGTGTGCAGCCAAAAGATAATGCTTAAGTATGCCTTAAAACAAATATATTAAAATTTATATAAATAAACATTGCAATACACATTCTTGTTTGTTTAAAATAACATAGTTTTCCTTTCAAGAGAAATGCCATCTCCTGTATTATTCGTGGGTGTCTGCTCTGACTATCAGCTTGGCTATCATTTTACTACCTATTATACATAGGTATACATTTTTGTACTTCTAAATCCATGACCTAGCTGTAACTGGCACAGGGTAGTTAATGACCTCTTCCCACACAGCCTACTCCTGCACCTCCCCCCCCCCGCCCCCAATTTTTGCCCCATATATCCACATTCTCCTTTTTTTTTTTTTTATTCAGGTGTCATCAGCACGCTATACATCTCCACTACTTTCACCTGTATTTTCAACACCATTGAATACACATACCCTTCAACACCTCTGTCAGAACTGTTATTCTATTTTTGTTGAAAGTACTACTAGGTACAATATTTCTACCACAATTTCTTATAATTTTTCATTAAAGGAGACAAATTCACAGTTGCTATAGGAAATTTAGAATGTCATGACTTGCATGCTTGAATTCTGAAACCCTGTGTTGCATACCTATATGTTGCTTCAGGCAGATAATGGGATGATAAACTTGGGGGTTATCAAGTTTAACCTCTTATTTGGACAACAAAAAAGTGCAATAGTTCTAATCTTTATTACAATATCTTCACAAATAACTATGGTACTTATGATTTTCATGATAATTTAGCCACTTCACCGGTTAGTTTGCTCTATATTGTTTCAATTTTTTTTAACAGGCATTTTCAGGGAGGGCTATTTATGCAATTATATTGCATTTTACTCTTCAAAATACAGGACAGCTCTTCCTTTCCCAGGATTACAGATCCAGCTAAATAGCAGCATAGCAGTACATTTTTTCCTCTGCTTGCCATGTTTCAAATGAACTGGCCCAATCTGCGTAGAAAAAGATTTGTTTCTTTCCCACAATAAGGCAAAGAAGTGACTCACACACATACTTAAACTAATGCAGAAATATTTTCAGGATTAAGGTAGACATCCAGGAAAAGATTAACGCAGCTTCTAACAATGTTGGTTTTTTTGGTAGATATCACACTAACTGGAAACATTCAGTGCCTCTTTATTGTAAAGCATCTTACCTGTGCCAGCGTACTTGTCTGTCATATTGATATCAATATCCAATTTTAAAGTCAGCATAGTCCTAATGACATCATCACTGCCTTTGCCAGCTGCCCACATGAAGGATGTTCTTCCCTCAAGATCTGAGTCATCTTTTACAGAAGGATGTTTCAAAAATACTTCAACTGTTTCCTGAAAAGACATGCTATTGAAATTAACCGTAAAAGGAATCTCTAACAACAAGAAACTATTGTGTCTCATTTAGCTGTTTACGAAGCAAATCAAAGTTCATTTTTCTTTTTCATGCTCATAGACAGTATAAGCTCAAAAGGAGCCCTGTATTTTCTGCTACGCTCTTTTCCTTGTCAATATTCATAGCTCATCCTTAACTATGAGTTTAACACTGTCATTTCTTTCATATGTTAGTTTCAAACATCATGTGTTCATTATAAGGAAGTAAAAGATACTGCAGTCACTGTGAAGAAAGCAATGGAAAAAATATTATTGGCTTATCAAAATATTATTGTAGTACTATAATGCTAAAATAATGTTCCTTCAAAATATTCTCCTGACATATTTTTTGCTGCAATTCTAAATATCACCGCACATGCAAATATTTAAGTTTGCTACACTCTAATGATTTGACTATTCAAGAAAAAAAAAAGTACTTTTGGGGCAACACAGACATATTTCCTAATATTCAATAATAGCAACAGGTTAATAAGTACTGAAACATTATAAATCAAAAAAGATTAATAAAATCTTTACATCTGAGTCCAGGCTTTCCACTGTAACTGTTACATTAAAATCTCTATTTAAATCAAAGCAAAAATAATTATTTCTTCAAATGCTGTGTTTGTGTTAAGCTCTCAGCAAACAAATCCACTTGTTTAACCTGCTGCTAAACTCTTAATAAGCCACACAGGAATGGAAAGGGAAAGGGAAAGGGAAAGGGAAAGGGAAGGAAAGGAAATCAGTACTGCAAGAAAAAGAAGCAGGGGCAGATTCTCCCTTTTCCATCTATCTATCTTACAAAGGCTGTGTATTTAACAGCTGATAAACCTCTCTTAAGAGCCACTGAGAGGACAGCAAACAAAAACTGAAAAAAGTGGGTTTCATTATTTTATTTTATATTTATATTTTAGTATTAACATTATTTTATCCTTTCCCCCATGTGACCCCAAAATAGCTCTATCACTGCTCTGGGTAGAATGAGAATTGCTTGGCTATAAGGAATCAAATGCTTATAACTACAGAGGTGTTTAAATGCCTAAGTCCTATTGATTAGTTTGGATTTTGTTTAACCATGACTTATTATTTCATCCCTCTAAAGAAACAGGAAATTTCTCATTTAGCTTATGTTAATGTGATCTAAGATCCTAACAGCTTTGTGGATTTGGGTCCATAACTGAACTACCAGCTTACTGCAAAAAGGTCCAGCCACAAATAATAAGGAATGGAAGCATTAAGCCTTCCACACAAACCAGCATGTGTTTATAGCTTTGTGTACTCACACTGGCCACCACTACACCTCAGATATAAACGGCTATTCATTAGGCCAGCAACTCAGAACCCCTACCAGTACTCTGCACTGCTTGAAATCCTATGAAGTGAAAAGCATTATGAAGGCTGGACCTTTTCTATACTAAGGCACACACACTCTGCAAACATAAATAAGTAATTTTATTTTTCCACTAAGTTTTAGCAAAGCAACCTTTCTTTCAACCACTCTTTTATTACTAGTGTTTTTAATGGAAAAAAGAGGAAGAAAATCCCATACTGCTATAAGTTATTTTCCAAAATGAAGTTATTACAACTTGAAAACAAAATGAAATTAAATTAGAACAGGATGGTTAAGAAATCAGAAAATAAAAGCATCAACCACTTTAAATTTTATCTGTATTTTCTCATTAAAAAATGCATGTATTGTACCTCTATTAAAAAAAAGGGGAGAAAACAAAATAAAAAATAACAAATCTGAGAAACAACAGTAAAGGAGAGAAGTAAACCTGGATCACTTCATTCAGTGCTATCAAGAAACTCTGAAAATTACTAAATATTATTTTCTGAATATTCAAAAATCAGACATGGGTATCCATATTTCATTTACTACATCATTGTATACAACTATGTGAAGGGGAAGTACATTGTGTTGGACATCTCCAGAAAAATTCAGAAAAAATAACATGTATCTAGTTGTGTATTCTGCATACTAAAATCAATACTAATAGAGCATCTGCCTTCACAAATAAAGTTTTAAAATTTAAAAAATATGTTTACTTGGACCATCTGGAGGATAGATAAGCCATCTAAACTTCAGGCGATCTGTCTGGGTGGTTATATTAAATAACTTTTATTCTAGAACTTTTCCTTCTGTAATAGGTGGGGATAAGTTAGTTTTAGAGAGCAAATGCTTCACCTAAATTAAGTGCCAGCTAAGTCTCTTCAGTCTTTAAAAAACCAAAAACGTCATATTAGAGTAAGTAACCCACAGAAAAACAGAACAAAGAACAAGATATTCAGTTAAATAAAACTAAAAGCAACACAACACTTTATAATAAACACAAAAGGATAAACTTTCTTCTTCTTGTTAGGAACTAAGAAACATCTCATGTTAACTGAGAAACACACCATGCCTATCCAAACTTGGGCAGTCTGAAGAGAACAGCCACATGGCTCTCAAACCATAAATACACAGATGCTACTGCCAAAACAACACGGATGTGTCTCCACTCAGTTGTTTGACTATGGATACGGAATGAAATGGTGGGAATTTCTCAAGGATGTGTATGTGATAGAGGAAAAAAAAAAACCACAAATAGTGGTGCTCAGAAACAACCAGAATGTTAAAAAAAAAGAGAGTAACTCCAGACATAATTTATGCATGCATAAACAAGGGGTCTTGGATACATCACCAGCTAAAAAAGAGGCTTCAGATCTGAACGAGACTCTCCTGTTTGATTCTTCATGTAAGATGGGAATCAGTACCTTCATTGCAAGTACACAAGACTGCAAAAGAATGTCTGAGTCCATCACCTACTCTATTTCTCCACAAAAACCTAAATGATATAGTTTGGCTGGCTGGTGGGATCAAAAGGCAGCAACATAATGAAGATGTTTCATAAACTGAATCAAGCCCAGAGAAAGAAAGCCAGCATAAAAAATCATTTTTAGGAACGTATCAATATAGAAAAGAAAAAAAAAGATAAAAGCATGTGGAGATAATCACCAGATTGTAAATAAAAACATCCAGTCTTTCCCATGAGTCTGTCTCAAACTAGAAAGAAAGGCTTTTACCACATAAATATTTGAGGCATGTGAGTCAGACCCAAATTGTACATACCATGTAATGGACAATAATCAGCATAAATAAAAAAATTCTCTAAAAAGGCGTAAATTAGACACAGAGATATACTCCAATGAAAGTCTGAATTCAAAAAAATATCAGTATGGTCTTACTAAGACCACCTCAAAAAACCCCACCAAAACCCCAAAACTCAGTCTCACACAGAAACAGAGGGTGGCAGATGTGGCATTAATGTACATTGGTCTGTTCCATCTCTCAATAGTACTTCTGGATTTGTTAACTTGAATGGTTCTCAAGGGCATTGAAATTTTACTTGTTTTATTAAAATTAACATGGGGCCTTGCAAGAAAGACCCAAATTAGTATCCCTGTTAAGAAAACGCTGCAATATGCACTACATAACTACATCAATTAGGCACTAAATAACCCTTTTTGTAAAGAAAACTTAGATGGGAGCTCTGAGCTTACTATGCACGGCATAATTCATCTGAGAGTCAGAGCAGCATAACAAAAGCCTTCTTAAGTTCCACTGCTTGAGAACTACTATAATAACATCTATAACCAGCAACCATTAAACAGCTGAGTTTTATACTTACCTCTACCATATCTGATCTTGCTCTGGAAAAAAATTACCTATTCTACCAAAAATATAACAATTAGGCCGTCTGAGAAACCAATTTTCTTTGTTGTCTGAATTTAAAAAAATAATTAAAAAATATTAACAACTTAAAAAAACTTTCATAAATATAGTGTTCACGAAGAATTGTGACAAAAGGTACTTGCTCTTTAGCCATGCTTTATGAGACAATGGTTCATTCATAATGGCAAATATTAATAAGTTAATCACCTTCTTGAAGGCAAAGACTGGTTTGACTGGTACTGAAACAGCTGTGCAAATACTCATACAGGGGATCTTATAACTGCTTAGATTTTGCTATAATGAACCTTACAAAGCAAAAGCACTGTAAAATAGTAGGTGCCATTCTGCTTTCTGCTGAAGTACCTAAAAGACTACAGTGTGTTCTGATGCAAACATATAGATCAAAGGGCTTTTCTTTGCACAGCTATTTAGTTTTTTAAAACCTGTTTTTAATAGTTTGAAATTAGCCACATTTATATCACATAACATAGGAAAACTCTGAATTAAGGTTGTGCAGACAACACTGTGTTTGTTTTATTTTAAAAACTACTCAAACACTTTGTTACATTATAAATATTTCAGCAAAATATATTTACTTCACATTCAGGGTATGTGCTACTTACAGCAAAGTTGCTCTGTGCTGCATAATGTAGGGGTGTTGCACCTTGACTATCAGATGGGATAGTTCCAAACTTATTTCTTTCTAATAAGAGATGGACAATCTGTGCATGACCTGAGAAAAACAATATAATAAAACCACATATGTATCAAATCCTAAAGTCAAACACTTCTCTATTAAAAAAAAAAAAAGAAGAAAATTAACAGATTTCAATAATTAATAGTATGTTTGTGTTGTAGCTATTATACTCTAAACATAAGAGAGAAGCATAAGACTTGATATTTGAACTTTTAAGTCTGGCATTCACCTTTTTCTCAATAGTGTTCCACTTCCAAAATCTGTACCCTCATTTTTGAGGGGCATCTGTAAATCAGAATGACCTATGAATAGGAACATGTGGAATGATTTTCTATTTCTTTTAAAAGAAATCACTAGAGCATTGCTCGAAACAAAGAAACCAGCAGTAGCTGGTCAGACAACTGCGATATTAACATTGCAATGAATAAGTTGAGTAATTCCAGAAAAAGCTTCTGACAATTCAGCCGAGATGCTTCATTTGAGTGAGAAGTCAGTCAGAAGCACTCAAGTGAGCATACCCTGATGATGATGTGCACTTGTCCATCTACATTAAAAGGTAGGCTAAACCACCACTGATGATTTCATCCCACATCACATTGTTTTACAGAAATTAAGTGTAAATTCTTTACTTAGGTTTTATTCAATCAAAACTTCAACTAAAAAAGTATAGCAGAATCTGGAGGCTAGTCTCCTACCAGCTGCCGTATCTGCAATAAACAGCAAACTGACACACACCACTTCTTCCATCAAAACTGATTAGAATGTTTTTAGATTAAAATCACTAATTTTGGGGGGATGGGTAAACATTATATTTACTTCACAGATAGGAAAGCAAAGGCACAACACAGTATATTGTTACTAAAGTCAACTGATCCTTTCATATGCTTTCTTTCGTAGGCATGTGCAACTCACAGAATATCTTAATGATTTGGTATTTGAAGAGATACTATAAGGCATAAATCACATAAAAATATTTTGATTTTACAGAAGAAATCTCCCAGCATGTGTGGAAAACAACCAATTTTGCAGCTTGTTACTTTTGCACAGCTGACTTGAATTAGAGTAAATGAAAAAAAGTAGGTAAACATTTCTACTAGCAGTAAACTTTTTTAATGAAAACACTGACAATTACAGTGTAAAGCTGTGTAATAGCTGTGGTCTGTAGCTTTTAAAAACCTAAGTGACAGAGGACTAGGCAAGCCTTCTTTTGTGGAATGGCACTCTGACTTTATATGTGTAGAAGTATCAGAAACGAGAGCAAATAGTCAACTTAGGTCAAAAAGGATAAACAGCTATGTGGGGATTAGTTTGCTCTAGGGGCTTTAGGGTATACAGGAAGGCTCCTCTTTCCTTTCAGACATTAAGACAACTTTCAGGACACAACTAGAAAAAAGGTAGCTGAACTCTGTAATCAGGAGGTCTACCTAGATTATCTGTAAGAAATCAGGCTTGAAGGAGTTGAAAAAAAAATTGTATTGGGTGCAACAATGAATAAATTGGTGCAAAGATGGATCTCACTTGGACATTAATGTAGACATAAGAATGTCATTCTTGAGGTCAAGAACTGTCATTTCTGTAGTCCTTTTATTTAGAAGTGATGTAACTTGGCTGAGACTTTTGTCTACACAAAATAAAAGGTAACAGGAGCAACAACGCCCTAAGATGCAGTCACATGTAACCCACCACACCACCTTTAACAGAATATTTGTGGCTGTATCCATGCGCTACTTAAAACCTCCTACTGTTAACCCATTTAGGAACATCTTAGACTCCTTGAGATATATACACAGCATCTAGTATCTAACTGAAAAAAAAGAAATTTCTGATTTACCCGTCAGAAATTCCCCATGGGCATATGCCACCTAGAGACCTCATCAAGTTCACAAAGGACTCTGGAGGTCTTGGCACATCTTTCCCCTTTATTCCACAGTGATTAGACAATTCATGTTTCCAAAAGACAAAACTTCTCTCCTAAATATAATCAATTTCAAAACATGATAAATTTTGCTTCTTGGACAGAACCAAGTGTTAATGACTGTTTCTTTGGGAAAATAATCCTATGACACTTCAAACGTTTTACAATTTCTCTGTAGAAATTCAATATCCCAACTTGAATGAAAATGCAAATCTGAGAACACTTTTTTTTTTAAAAAAAAACCAAACATAATCAAACTACATGTATATTGTCACTGGAGTTGCAGTAACTTGCTCCAGTGAGCAATCTCATTCTTTTATTGGCATTCTTTGTCTGCAGTGTCCCAAAGGGTCATGGGGATGAAGCCTTAAAGGGGAGAGAGAGAGTGTTTGAAGATTCTTTCTTTTTATCCAGTGCATGGTGTTTATTTTTTCCTCCTGCACATAGGAGAATGGAAAATAGGAGTTCCATTTTCTAAATCACATTATTTTTGTGCCTGCCATTTTATGAGGTGCATTTCCCTGAATTTGGGCTATATTTAATCAAGTTTTTACCTGTTTTGCAAAGATCCAATTTTGTAACTTGTAAAACCAAACAGTGCAGAATTCACATATGCGAGAGCATCTGTGTCTCAAGAGTAGCAGTCTGAACAGAAAAAACTTTATCTGAATAAAACTTCTTGTCAGAGCTGGTTAGATTGTCATAATGTGTCTGATGAAGAGCTTGAACCAGGAGTAGAAGTGCCAACTCTGCTATTTTCATGTTCACTTGTGCTTGCATTATCAGATTATCTGTGGTTTCTTTGCAGGAACCTTTTAAAGCCGTCTCTCTCTTTTGTGAGGCGTAGATTAGTAAAAACTAGATACAAGCCACAAATCCACTTAACTGGGCACATGCAAACTGCAATACATTGCAGTAAGATGAAAGAGTGAGTTATGATGGCACTGTCAACCCCCTCTGCATTGTGGAGCAGTCACTTCCCTCAGGAACCTCACAAACCCTGCGTGACCATCTTACGTATGGACCAACTGAGGGTGCTAGCATCAATCCGTGTATGAAATACTAGTAAAGTTTTCTTATTTTTTCAGATATAAAAAAATACATAAGTTCTGATATTTTCTTCATGCACCCCAATGGATTGTCTTGCATGCACACTGGAGTGTGCACACCCCACTTCGGAGACCACTCCTCTAGAGTATCGGGTTTTTTGAGTCCTAAGAAACTGTTTTTTAACCTAGGAGCAAAGCTATATACGCAAGAACTTCTCAATATGCTCTAAGCGTTCTTAAATCATAAGCATATATAGTCTGCTGAAGTACTCAATTTTACAATGCTTTGGAGAATATGAAGCTAAAAAAAACCAGTCTCCACACAAACATCTAATCCTGGTCTAGGAGAAACTATTATTGTTCTACGAGACTAGTTACCATAATGCCAGGCTGGTATGAAACAAAAACCAGAGGCAAAGATTAAACACCACAGTCAGTTAATTACTAAATGACTTCAGCATTGTCCAGTTTACCAAGTAAGGCTGCCCAGTGAAGGGGAGTTCGAAACAAGTTGTCATAAGATGTCACATTGCAGCCTTCATAGGAGGTCAAGACATCAACAACTGCTAAGTTCCCATCAGCAACAGCAAAATGAAGGGGAGTTCGTCCTTCATAGTCTTGCCAGTTAAGCAGAGATTCTGTAGGTGCAGCTTCCTTTAAAAAAAAATACAAAATTAAAAAAAAAAATTAAGTTGAAGAGAAAAGCTATATACTCCTTTAAGATTTCTTTTTTTAGTCTTTTATATAAGGAGATAAACTATCCTTGTTCAGTAGAATATAGTTCTACAAATACTTCTATTAAGTGTGGGCTATTTTCAAGTATTTCTTATGGGTTTTTTTTATACTTACTTAATTATTGTACAAGACCTGATTTCTAGTACATACCCTGTAGTTTTGCCAGTCTGTTGTGCAAGTGGCTGCTTACACAGATCCTTAGAGGACTATTGTGAAAATAACTAGATCTTCTCACTCGATTTTCTAAATTTAACATGACATATGTATCTTCATATTTTGCTCCCAGGACACTCCTCTTTTTGCATATTTGCATATTTGCACTCCCCTTATAAAAATATTTTTCTAGCATTTTAAAACCACATGACTATCAGAGTACTTCTAAAGGGCAAGATCTCTAGCTGACAGGATAGAAGTAAGGTAGACAGTAGTTCTAATGAATGCATCTACTTGTAACAGGCTTAATTTTGAATCAAAAAAATCTGTAGAAGTATTGTGATTAGTCATTTGATCACATATCATAGGCATTTATAGATATAACTTTACTTTTCATCACATTATCTTAAAAAATAGGCTAAACTACTTTCGGATAAGGCCCTTAGCTATATAGTTTCATATTATGACAATTTCCTCTCTCATCAATTTTTTTCTAGACAAATTTCTCTTCATGACTTTATTTCTCAGGCAAAAGAACAGAACAGGCACAAATGAACATCATCTTAGCACTGCAGAGATCTCCAAATGGCAAATATCATAAAGGCCCATGAAATAGAAACTTTAAATTTCACTTTCCTGAAAAAAAGAGGTAACTCTAAAGAAAATGGTAAACAATAAAACAATAGAAACTCAGGATGGAGGACACCAAGCATCTGGAGCAGAAGCAGAATGTCAAAACAACAGCTTAAATAAACTATAGGAAGTAAGTCTAGTGTTTTATCTCCAACAATTCAGAAAAACTCACTGAAGTCAAGGGAACTCTGTCCAAAAGAAAAAAGTAGTGTAGTCGTGAGATTTTTAACTTCCAACAATAGAGTGGATTTTAACTTATACCAACTAAGATGAACAATCCTCCTTAAAAAACAGAGCCACACTATGTCTTACAATATATTATGAAAGAGGAGGGAGAGATTGTGATAAGTGCAGCTTGTTAACAGTTAAAGCAGGTTGCTGATCCCTTTCTCCCTAAACTAATCGCAATTTTTCCTATTGGCTTCCCTAAGTACACAAACAGACTACAAAATCACTCATATTTGCATTATTTAAATGCAGTAACTGTTACATAGAAAACAAACACCTAACACTGAGAATGAATAAAACAAGAAGCAGAAAGTAAGGAAATTCCAGAGTTATGGCTTCTATCCAAATATTAATTTACCAAGGTTGTACATTCTTTATGTTCTATTGAATAGACAAACACAATTAAATTTATTTAGACTTATTTTTAAACATATTTCCTAAGTGTAATCTGGGTAAATTAATACTGCAGTAGTAACCTCAACTCTGCAATGATCTGATTCTTTGCTTCTTACTGTCTTACTTTCTAACAGTGTCAACTTCCTAATATTTTATTAACATAAGCTTTCTAAAGTTAAACATTTACATACTTTGCATACTGTATGTAAATAGTAATTAAGTTGCTTGTATCACATATATAAAGCATCTGATGCAGTTTTTTATATCAGCCATGTTTCGCTAGAGAAAAAAACTAACATATTTGAAACATATTGTAGTTCATCAACATATCTAGCAACTAGTACAATAACATATAATCTATTAAAAACAAAAATTGATAAATGTGACTCTCTTAACTAAAAATACAATCAAAGTTAACATTGTTACATGCACAAACCACAATGATCAAAGCATGAACACTTCTTTTAATAAGCATTCAAAAGCATTTATCTGAGCCATTACTGTGGAAAGTGAAGCTTTATGTTCTTGCCTAGCTTTAATAATTCACAAGAGAAAGCTAACTGGTAATATGCTTACTTTCTCTCTATTCAGAGAGCACAGCAGGGGGAGTATAGAGTCCACTGCAGAAAGTTCAGAAGTGATCTTTACAAGAATCATTTTAAAGAATGACTAAAAATGAATGATAAATGCACAGAAGTTTATTACTGAAATTCTAACTGCACCAGAGGAAAACCTATTTGAACAAAGTGGACAAACAAGAAAAGAAATGCTTCTTCACTTTACCTATAATTTATTGATGTAATCTGGAAATCTAATTTTCAAGCCTTCTGAAGCACAAAGACATGTTAAATCAATTACTCCTAAAACTCCTGTCTCGGAGTCAGTGATATTCCCCAGAACATATCCCCATAATTAACAGTGTTACTTTTCCAAAATGGTAAAGAATAATTTAATGATAAAGCCACTACTTACATTCTAGTCTAAAAGTACTGATGTGTTTTGAAATTTTTGGCCACTTAAATTAAAATTTTGTAGGCCTCTTCCTGCCTACATTCAACAGTGTAATTTCTCTGGTTTATAAGTGGGTTTGGTGTAAAACCAGCTATAATTAAGCTGTCATACTATATGAATATTTTAAGCACAATACACAGAAGTAACAGAAGCGAGGCATTGGAACAATGGAATTGTAGGCAATAATGGGAAGTGTTATATAAATAAACGTCATGTCTCTTACCATGAAGAATAAATAAAGAGAAGAGATACAAAATAGAGAGTACTAAGCAGTTGCTTCCATCATATTAATGGAACCTTATTCTGTTCTTTTCTCCTTAAATGTTCCCAACGTTTTTCATGTAACCAAGCACTGCTGAATCTGGAAAGGTGGAAAAGGAAGTTGACCATGAGAGGATCTCCAGATTAGAGTTTCTCTCTACTTCACATGTTTACTTTCTAAATATGTCATGAGTTCCATTTTCACTGTATTTCATGGATTTCAATATTAGATGTAACCAATTTGTGCAAAACTGTGACCCCTGCAAACCCAACTTACTTCTTCAGCATTCAGTTGAGCTCTTTTCATTATTGTTTATGTTGACAATCCCAATGGGGTAAGTACTATACAAACATCAAACAGAAAGATGACCCTGAATTTTATGAGTTTATAAACAGGAGACAACAAATGGACACATCCAGATGGCAGGGCATGAAAATACAAGAGTATTTGTCAGTAACATAGACTGCAGTCTCAATAAAACCAGCAGCTTAACTTTTGTCAAGTTTTTGTGAAGCAGCATAGCCGACTTCTTAGTAGGACACTGGAGAAAAATAATTTTCTGGGGAATTCTTCTAGAGTGTTAAAGATAACATGAGAGAAACAACAGCAGTGTTGTTTTTCATAACTTAGTCAGCAGGTAACAAAGGCTGACAATGCAGATTCACCAGTGGTGGATATCAATATGTGACTGCTATCTGAGCAACCACACATAACTTACAGCTTATAGCACTCTATCGTGAGAGCAAAGACAAATAGTTTGTGTTGGATATGATTAAAAAAAAAATGGAGAGGTAACACTGACACAGAGTCACAGGCCTTCTGCACTGCTATCACTACAAGACAATGCTCCCATTAACTTAGAAATGCAATTATGTAAGTTAAGACGCAAGATGACAGAAATTTTAACTGTATGGATATGTATGTTAGAAATACCATGCAGAAAGAATGTGAAAAACTATAAAGTTAACCTGGATGTGAAAAACCTGGAGAGGAATGAGAATCAAAGCTGATGTTTGGGCTATACATCTATTACATGGGTAATATGGCAAAAAGTAGCTAAGAAAGGAGGGGAAAGATTGTGAGCTCTGATAGGTAGATATCTATCAGGACAAGTAAGAAAAACACTTCAGTTTGGAGAGAAGACAAGATCTTACTAAAGGATTAAACTCTGAGCCACCACCACCACCAAAAAAAGGTATTTATATTCAACAACAGATTCAATCAACAGATTGATTACCTGCTAACAACGTTTCTGTATCATCAACTTTTACAGCATATTCTGTAAGCGAAATTACTTTTGCATTAAAACTTACTATCTTATTCCATCAATAAGCATACATAGGTATAACTATTTGGAATGTAAACAACTTAGTTGATGCATGAAAAAGCCTAGACGGAATCAAGAATACAGTCTTTTAACTGTCAGAGTGAAAAAAAAGAACCAAAAAACCTGGACACGGTCATGATTCTTTTTTACCTAAAGAGAATCTTTGAGAACACTTTCAGTAAGGAGACAGGTATTTTTGACATTTTGTAGTGCATCTTGCTGGGATGGAGTTAATTTTCCTCGCAGCAGCAAGTATAGTGCTGGGCTTTGCGACTGAAACTGCTGATAACACAGAAATGTTTTTGCTGTTACTGAACAGGGCTTGCACAGCAGCAGGGATTTATCTTTTTCATGCCCTGCTGTGTCCTGCTCCGCTGCTCCCCCCAGAGAGTGGGCTGGGGATGGGCAAGAGATTGGGAGTGGACACAGCAGGGACAGCTGACCTGAACTGACCCAAGCAATATTCCCTAGCAAATAACATCATGCTCATCAAAAGAAAGCTTAAGGCAAGGACTGGGCAGGGAGGATGCTCATGGCTACACCATTTGTCTTCCCAAGCAACCGTTAAGCATGTTGAAGTTCTTTTTCCACTCTCCTGGGAGTGGCTAACATCTGTCTGCTGATGGGAAGTAGTGAATAAATTCCCTTTTGCACGCAGCTTTTGGTTTCCATACTAAACTGTCATTATCTTCATCCACAAGTCTTCTTGCCTTCCTTACATTTTCTCCCAGTCTTGCAAGAGGTGAGTGAGCAAGTGGCTGTGCAGGTGTTAATGCTGTTGGCTGGGGCCAACCCACCACAACATTTATAAACATTTACCTTTACTATCTAACGTTTGAAAAAGTCTGTATTTGAATACAGCAATCCTTACCTACAGTTCAGCAAATTTATTTCTCTAGTGTGGTAGAAAAGTAGATGGTATATACAAGCTAAAACTTAGTGACAAGATTTTGCTTGTGACAAATTATTTCCCAACTGAGTCCAAATTACAAACAATTGCATAAGCAGCAATACAGAAATAAAATCATATTAATTTGACACTGGAAACTTCTCAAAAAACTATTTTTATAGTGTAAGATCATCAATGCAACCTTGAAAAAACCAAAGCAAATTTTCATACACCACACAAGTTCTCAACTTGAAAGCCAATCAGGCAGACATATAAGTTATTGTAGCTTACAATCAATATGTGTCTCATTCTGAAACACCTTTGAAAGACAAAGATATGGAGAGATTGTAGTAATATGAGAGAAAAAGTCAATTGAGACTGCTGTATCTTTCCACGTTAGTGAAGTTCAGATATTTCCACAGAATAAAAGTCAAGGTTAAAATCAAGCTGAACACATGATTTCATTGTACTCATTACAACTGTCAGTATAGAAAATGAAACTGAAATACTGCAGAAAGATAAAATACACCATCAAGGAAAAATTATTAAATCCGTACAGAAAAATATTTGGGAAGTCTCTCAATAACTGATTGTGGTCTGACTAATATCACACATTTCTCAGAATTCTGACACAAAAGACCAAATTAAATTAGACTTTTCAGTACAGTTAATTAGAAATAAACTTTTAAATAATGAAGAAAGACATACAACAAAGAAATCAGTGTGCAAGATGCAACAGAGATGAGTAACATGATGGGCCATTTTAACTAGGAGAACTTGCAACCCCTTCCTCCCTTCCCCTCAAATCAATAGTTACACACATCAAACTAATAAGAGAATATGCATAGTCCATGAGTTAGAGAAAATATATTCACCCATAGAACTCAGAAGAAACCCCTTTCAAGAGAGCAAAAATACTTAATATGACTCCTTGCAAAATTCTGGATATTAGGAAAAGCAAATTATTTCATTCTCAAATAGCCAGCGGACTAAAATGAAAAATTTCAAGAGAACACAAAATATTTCTATCAGAGTAAAGTAATAAATACAGAAAGTGTTACATATATAATAGACTTTCTTACCAGAATACATTTCACTGTGTGAATTGCACTAGGGTCCTTGTTGTTAGCTGCCCAGTGAAGTGGGATTTTTCCTTCAATATCAGGAATTCCAATATTTGAATCATGTTTTATGAGAAGTTTCACATGCTCTGGGTTATTGTAGTAGGCACTCCAATGCAGTGCAGTTTGCTGGAATATAATATTCACAAGTTTTACAAACACGTTCAAAAATTAATAAAAGATGAAAATTAAAGTTGTTAGAAACTGAAATATGATTTAACTATATTTACACAGAATGAAAGAGTTCACCTAGTCCAACTCCTCTACTTTAAAGCTGAGTCAACTAGAAAAGTTTGATTAGAACACTATCCAGTCAGATTTTGAGTTACCTCCACAGATAGACTGCACAACCTCTCCGAACAACCTGTTCCAGTGTTTGACTTCCCTCACCATAAACTAACAAAAAAAATCTCAGGTTTAAACAGAATTTATTACATTTCAGCTTGTGCCCATTCTCTTGTCTGTTCACTGGAGACCACTCAGAAGAGTCTGACTTCATCTTCTTTACTGCCTCCCATCAGGTATTTAGAAAATGACCCCTGAACCGTCTCTTCTTCAGGCTAAACATTCACAAGTCTCTTAGCCTCTCCTTGATGTCAGATGCTCCAATCTGCTAATTATCTTTGTGGCTCTCCACTGGACTTGCTCCAGTATGTCTATGCCCTTACTGTACTGAAGAACCCAGAACTAGACACAGCGTCCCATTTATGGTGCCACCAGTGCTAAGCAGTGGCGAGGGACCACAGGTAAAACCAGCTTTAAACAATGGGTAAATGAGCAATCTTTTGTTACACTTCAATAAAGAGGACTGACAAAAAATGGAGCACGTACCTAGGGTGGGAGACAACTCAAAACCACCAGAAAACAGGCTTTAAACAAAACTGAACAAGAGGCCCATCTACCTGAGTAGATACTCACTTTGCTACTGAGGTCTGAATTAGGGCTAAGCTACATCATCTCACATGAGACCCACACTGAGAAGCCCTTATGCTTGGAATTTAAGTATTTCTGGTAGAAAAGTAACTGCTTTGTAGGAGGATTTTTTGGACTATGGCAGAATATTGTCCATGCTACTTAGCCAGCCAACAGGGCAATGCTGTCGGGTACACCAATTTCAGACCTGGAGAAAATATCTGAGTTTGGTATTAAGCAATCATGTCCCAGTTAGAGTGATCATCTGAAGCAGGCCTCAGCACCAGAGCAGCACTATACAACAACTGCAGTGGTTAGTCTGGTACCTCTTAAATTTGGAAATCTCTTGGAATAACACAAATTCATGGAGAAGCATATAAGATTACTTTCCACATCTCCAGAAGATGGCACTGAATACTGACACTGGACTTTGATCTATCTTAAAGCAAAGGTTTTGACTTTCTGCACTGTCCTTCACCACTCAGAATTCCGAGGCTGAATATTACTGAACTAATGCCCACTGACCCATGGAAGTCCAATAAAACATCAAAAGGCAACCCATGCTCCTATTGCCAATTCCTGACTGCCAGTGGCTTTTTATGGGCATTATCAATGCTCATAATTACATATGAAAACCAATGTGTGGGGTTTTTTTAAACAGTAAAATGTTGGTATATTAACAACTATTTTATTTATCAGACATATATCTCCCAACTGCCAAGCAGCAGAAGGTTGCAAGATACAGAACGAACTTTATTTCCTATCTCTCTTCCCCCTTCACCCATGTAAAATATTACATGGCACTTTGATTTGAAAATGAAGAGAAATAACTGCTGTGGGACATTTGTGTACAAGCCTATGGTACCCTGGATTAGCATCCTTGAACAGTGAGATAGAATGTATTAGTTCACTATTGCATCCTTAACGTCTCTGTAAAGGAGGAAGGCAAAAAGGAATCTATTTTTTGTGTTTGTTGCTTTAAGCTGATAGTTTAGTACCATGGTAACACAATTTGATAGCACAGCCTTTTTGTCTACTTGGTAGTCCACTGAAAAAGAGCTCATTCTAAGACATAACTGGAGGTGCTGCAAGGAAAGGTCTGATAACTCACACCACATACAACAACATACAGGTTAGCACCATAGAGCGTGTTGAAACCACAGTGTGTCAGGATTTGAAAAGAAAAAACTTCTATCAGTAGAAATTTGGAATAAATTAAGAAATGTTATTTCTTAACTGGAGCTGACCAGTATCCCTAGAAACTGACAGCTGCAAAGAAAGCAAAAAATTTTGATTACCAGGAGCCCAATGGAGCCTTGGTTTACTGACCTCTCTCACCCACAATGTGCTTTTCAGTCAGTTGCCTACATGGAAGTAGGTGTAAAAGACAGTTATTCTCTCTCATGTTCACGAATTATATTTGACAATCTTGATGTGCATAGTTGTGGTACAGGAAATGAATAAGCTACGTGCCCATCAGAGTCAAACTTGCTGGACCCTGTCCTTGAGACTGCCTTTCATCAACCTGAATTCCACCCTTGCTTCTGTGACTACTCATGACACAAACTAGAATAAAAGTGCTATACATTTTGTGTGGAAATCTGGAAATGCTTTAATACTGCCTCGGAAATCTGATAAACAACAGGCAAGGTTCCTAAAAGGTTTTGTCTGTTTTCCGTATACTTTTGTTAATGAACTAGCATGGTCAGGAAGTCAGCATGACCGCTATAATTATAGCCAGGGTTTCCATGATACATGTTAGAATACCCTGGAAGGGCAAACAGTTGATTGCTAAGGCACAGGCTGGTTCAACTCCATTGTCCAGAGGGGACAGAAGATTCATTTGTTGGAAACTGGGCTTGCAGCTGTCTTATCCTGCTTCCTAGATGATAAAATCTCACAAAGATTTCAGAGTTTAAGCAGTTACATCACCAGGAAGTCCAGTCCCCTTCTCTTGTGTCCTCTTGTGGTAGAATGAAAACCTACTACATGAGATATGGAATGATGATTTTTTTGCCAAGCTGGTAAATTGGTTATCAGCTGATCCCTATAGACTTGATCAGGGCACACACACTTGAATCTGTGGTCGATTAGTGCCCGGTGGGGAGAGATTTTACACCAGTTCTAAGATCACTTACAAAGCATAGGAAAGAAGCCTTCCTCATCAATGCTTAAAAAACCCTCCATCATCAGTAACAGTTCCAGTAGCATTCAATACCATGCGTACCTTGACAATGGTAGTTACATAATTGTTTTTTGGTCTTCCTTTTGTTATCTACATTTACAGTGTCTCATTTTTGCTACCATATCCTTGCAGAAAAATAGGCTTAGGGAACATTCATATCTCTGAGTTCTTTGAAAGAAGTCTCTTTCAGATTTCAGGATACACAATTTTAAAAATTGTGAAATTTAAACCAGATACTCCCAAATAGGTCTGCAATAATTACAAGAAATCTGCTTCCAAAAGACAATGTATCTCCCCAACAGAACATACATCAAGCATGCCAACAATGGCAATTAATCTGTTTAGTTCAAAATGTATGTGGAGAGACAAGAAATCCTTTACCTAGAATGTCTGTCAGGCATGTGTGAAAGTCCTATGCCTCCTGTATTGTGTCTGGCAGAGATGGAGTCAGTACCCCCCCAGCACCCTCCCAGTGCTGAGTGTTGACCTGGCAGCCAGCAGGGGGTGTGTCACACAGCTTGGGAGGGGGCGGGGCCGGGACAGCTGACCCGGATTGGCTGTTCCATACCATGTGACCTCAGCTCAGCCATAACAGCCAAGGGCAGGGAGGCGGCGGGGGGCATTGATTACTGTGTTTGTCTCCAGGAGCAGCTGCTGCACACACTGAAGCTCTGCTTTCCTGGGAAGTGGCTGGACATCGCTTACTGAGGGGAAGCAGAGAATAACATCTTTGTTTACCTTTTGGTCCTGTGCATGGCCTTGGCCTTTACTTTAATTAAACTGCTTTTATCTTGACCCACGAGTTTTTCATCTTATTCTCCCCCTTTATTTTGCTGAAGGGGGAGTGATAGAGGGGCCTGGTGGGCACCCCCTGGTGGCAAGGTTAACCCACCACACCTCCTCATACCCTACTATTAATGATAACAGAGGCAACCATTTCACATCAGTTTTAAATCAGGCATTGCTAAGCACTCAAACTTATGAACCACACTAATCTGAATCCCTCAGTAAATACAGTTACAATATGCTAAGTAACTATTCCTTCTTTAAAATGGGTTAGTGTGCTATTACTGTGGGCTGGCAGTCATCTTTGTATGAAGAAAACCAGTAAATCAGTTGTTTTAAGAACTGTACTACTGGCTGTTCATTTGAATTACAGACTCTTTTAACAAACATTCAGAGATATTTCCTGAGGCTCTTGGAAGTCAGTGTGCTTCTGAAGCAGGCTGGTATTTTTATTGATGTGGTAGAGCATGACTTGATTTTGCAAAGGGGCATCAGACAACTCATGATGATATATGCACTATATGATATACACTGAAAGGCATCTGGAGATTTCCTGGCCTTTCAAGCAACTGTTTTCACTACAGATGCAGACAATTAGTCTGAAGGACTTTATTCTAAAAAGGTAGTAATGTAAAGCTCTGAAGATGTTAAGATTACATTTTCTCCCAAGGAAGCCTGCAGTTTCACACAACAAATGTCAGAGTGACTAACTGGCACTCTGCTTCAAGTGAAAGTCTCATGCCAGAATGTCAATCAACTTCATCATCACATCCCTCTCACTCAATGGTGCACTCATGGAAGCAACAATGCACGTGCATTGATAGCAGACCTTCTGCTGCCAATTGGTCCATTTTATTATAATAATAAAAATAATAATAACAATAAACAACTTGATGTTTTCTATTGACTCAGAAAATTTTCTTGCCAAATGGCATCACATTCTATCCCAGGCCAAAAAGTCATGTATGACTGGGAGACTCTAAAAATTGTCTATTTTTACTTACAGAGATACAGAAAAAAAGGACAGTTGACCAGATAAATTCAGTCTATGGATATTTTTACCCTTGGACCATCGTTGTATGTGGAAGTGAAGGAGTCAAAGTGAAGGAGTAAAGCTGACCCAGCAAAAAGGGAGGTGGGGGGTGATTTGAAGGTTTTGTTCTAATTTTTGTCTCTGTTTCTCACTATCCAAACCTATTTTAACTGTCAACAAATGAAACTCATTTTCATGGAGTGTGTTTTGCCCGTGACAGTAACTGGTGAGCAATCTTCCTGTCTTTATCTCAACTCACAAGGTTTTTCAGCCTATTTTTTCCATCTGTCCCATTAAGGAGGTGGAGTGAGAGAGTGTCTGGGTGGGCATTTGGCTGCTTGCCAAAGCTAACCCACCACACATTTCTAAAAGGTGGCGCCTACAGATAGCTGTGTCAATATCACCACTATTTTAGTGGCTCCAGTGCAGGGCCAAACCAATCACTCAATGTTAGGAAGGATGTCTGCCATCAGCAGACCTGCATTCAGCTCAGCACCAAAAGAATTTTTTTTTTCACCTTTGCTATTGACAAATACTTTGAAGACCTTTTGCATGAAATTTTCTAGTGACCCTTATTGTTAAATGATTCTAAATATAGGGTTTTGCTGAGGAAGAAAGGCAAGAGATAAGCACATACTATCTAGATTATAACAAGGATTATAATGTTACAGAAAGACTTGGAGCTTAAACCAGTGGTTTTTTAATCCTCTACTATTTTATGGACTCTCAACAAGAACATCAATGAACTCAGCGCAATGAGCTTCTACATTATTATCATCAGGAAATATTAATATTTCTAAAGGTCATCATTATAATTACAGCTTTAGCCACTATTTTGAAGATTCAGAAAAAAGTTATTTCTGACTGAAATAACTGCTACAAGTGTTGTCTTAAATAAACAGTATTTTTACCTTGTTTCTGTCCTGGGTATCCACTTCTCCAGGTGCCATATGTTTTAGCAACAAAGCTAAACATTTTGGGCTTTTGTGACGTGTAGTTAAATGTAATGGTGTCATATCTTCTAAGTCCTTCTGCATCCAGTTCCCTCTACGAGCCAGTAAAAGCTTCATGAAGCGGTAATTTCCCTGGGTAAGGAAAAATAGCAGAAAAACATTCCAGTTTATCAAACCAAATGATGATACTGTTTTGATATATTTACTGTTGTATTACAGTGCCTAAAAAACCTGCACCAAAACAGCTCTAAGCTTTGGAAACATCTAAGAAAGATTTTTTTGTTAAAAAAACATTAACTCTTGATTTTTAAGTCTGTTTTGCTACTTGGTATTAGATACATATCTTCCATTATCAGAATGTGTGAGACAATATTCATAATATCGAAAATTCTGCAATGTTGTCAGAGTTTCTTTACAATTAAACCTCAGTAAATGTAATGTGAAAAATGATATATTATCATTATGTGCTGGTTTCAGCACGGCAGACAGTTATCAGATGAGGAATAAAACTAAACATGAAGAAAGATTACAATTTTCAAAATGAAAGTAAGAAAAATAACAGGGAATTATTGAGAGAGATCAAATGTACTTATCTGAATGAGTAACAAATACACGAAAAGTGTTTGTTTCTTACATTTTTAAATTGGAAACTGTATATGAGTTTTTATCTACTGTATGCATGATAAGCGTATGGTACAGCTAGCTTTGTAACACATTTAAAATACTTACCATTCTGGTTTTCAAAATAAATAATGTAGAAATGGTCCTGTGACTAATAAATGAGGGCAGATCCCAAATAAAACAATCCAGTTTTATTTCTCAAATCATCTAAGAAACCAGTCAAAAGTTAAAGATATAATCATGCAATCTTGAAGAAGCTGTGGTGTTTCAAGGTATAGCCAGCCTTGACTTGCTACTGCCCCTTGCTGGAGATTATTTTCCATATAACAGTGATGCTACATGTCATATGTTGATGCTTCCACTTCACTTTAGTACAAAGTCTGTTGGGTTTTTCAAACCACGTTCAGCAGTTAAGTTTCAGTCATGGACCAGTAACAGCTGTAGCAGAAACTCATTAAAGCAAAACATCTGGATTTCGCTTGTGTGATTGTGTTTTAAACATCCCCGTTCTTTCCCCACTATAACTTTTAACCTTTCCTAAAGGTTTGCTGTCTCCCAGTGTTTCCCAAAATACTAGGTTTTGCCAATTTCACACATTGATAGTTTAAGTAAAAGTATCAATTGCCCATAAATATAATGAAAATAGAAAGCTCAGAAGATAAATTGCGCTAATTCTCCCCATTCAGAGAAAAGCTGCAGGATTTGATGAAGCTTTGTTAGACAATGTACACAGGAAAGGTGACACACAAGACAAAAGAAGTCATGTCTTTGGATTCTTCTGCTTATGGACCTACTCGCAAATCAACATATTTCAGTCTGCTATAATTCTTTTATAATTCCTGTACGTTAACTTAGTCCCTTTAGGCTGTCTGTGGAAAACCAATGAAAAACAGGTAGCCATGTAGACAAGAGCAAGCAGTGCTAACGAATGGGAGCACTTCTGTGTATCGTAAGACTCAGAATTGTGAATCACTTTGTCAGCAGAATGGTAGGGTAGAGATGGGCCAAAGGATTCCAGAGGTCCCCACAGTATCCAGTGCCAGGGCATAAAAATATTCCAGTTTCCTTCTCCATAGCAGTCATAAACACTAGAAGGGCAGATTTTACATATGTTACTGTTTCGCTCTTTGTCTAAAGAAAATGGAAGAGTTGAGCTTTATGTGGGCAGAAAGGATTTCACCAAGTATGCCTAAAATAAATTAATGTGGGTTTTTTCCTGCTACACTATTTTATTTTAAAATACAAAACAGGGAAAGCAAATGATGAATGAGCTCAGACAAAATAACCTCTTCCTGCTTCTACAGTTTATTGTCATTGGTCCTTGCTCTTCAGTGAAAGCCTACAAGAAAAGTCTGCCAAAATCTTACCACAAACCTGCCTGAAAATGCAAACTTCTCTTGCCAGTACTCTCCAATAGCAAGTTGTGACTCAATAATTCTCTTTCTTCTGCTGGGTGTCAGGGGAAGCATACCCTTAGGATTTTGTCCCTTTAATACACAGACATGCATGCAGGCATATGCTGAAGTACAGAGGCAGAACAGCATAACATCTGCACAGCCACTAATCCATGCAGAACACACTCAAAATGAATTAATGATAAATTTGGGAATGAGTTAGGAATGAGAAAACTCCTCATTATTGTCAGTATATTTTACAGGTAAATATAAGAAGAATTTTCAAAACTCATTAAAAAAGAAAAAAAACTAGCAAAAAAATAGCAGTGTATCATGATGCGGTTAGGAATTGGACTAGGGTAAGACAACATTAAATAACTTGTGAGAATATTAGCCTTGGAAGAAATATAGCTGCTTTTCTCCATCACAGAGGATAATGCATTTGGTTTGCTTTCAGTATTTCCTGCTCAATGTGCATGCATACACATGAAAGAAAAAACATTTATTTTCTCTTGTTGATTGATACTTTATTGGAAGATTTACAAGTATATTGTGCTTTTTGAATGAATTCAGCTCAAAAGAAGAGTTGAAGTTAAAATAATACATAAAACTATGGGAACACGCATTTTTATTACTAGAATTTCTTTCC